CCAAGATTGCATCATGAATCTTGAATCCAAGAAGTAGGAAATTTCTTAGACTAATAACAAGAATGAAAGTTACATTAGGAATAAAAAAAAATCTCCCCTCACAGAAAAGCCCAAGATTACCTGGTTTCATTGGTGAATTCTGCCAAACATTTAAAAAAATAATTAATGACAATCTTCGTCAAAATCTTTTAAAAATGGAGTAGAGGGAACATATTCAAAGTCATTCCATGAAGCCAGTACTACCCTAATACCAAACCAGGATAAAAACAATCTAAGAACAAAAAATTCTAGTTTGTCCATTTAAGTAGTCCTGCTCCAGCTTTCTTTTGACATCCATTTGCTTGGTAAAGTTTTCTCCAGCCCTTTACTTTCATTCAGCAGCTGTCTTTAGGTCTAAAATGAGTCTCTTTGTAGGTAACCGTCATACTTATTTGAAAAATTAATTTGAAGATTCACCCTGCTGAAGAGGTGGGTTAAAATGAAGTGTTCCAGAAAGAGTAATTAAGCAGTGCTAAAGGTGACCAGTGGTGAACTTTGAATTCAGTTTAACAGAACATTCGTCTAAATAGAAATTGTAGTTACAAGGTGAACAAAAATGTCAGAAGTTAATTTTAGGATGAAAAGCATGAAAACAAAAGCCAATTTACTTGTATTCTCTGTTTAATAGAAAAGACAAAGAGGATTTATTTTATTCATGGTTTGGTAATCAAATAGGTTGTTAAAGTTCTTATAAAACTAATATGTTATCAAAAGCACAGGAAACAAAAGAAAACTTGGAATTTATGAAAAGTTAAAACTTACATATCAAAAACTAACAGACTAAAAAGATAATTCACAGAATTATAAAAAAATGCAAATCATATCTGATAAGGGATTAATATTCAGAATGTATGAAGAATTCTTACAACTCAACAAGAGTCTAATTTTAAAATGGGCACAGGATCTGAATAGACATTTTTCCAAGAAACACAAATGGCCAAAAAGAACATTAAAAGGAGCTATACATCATTAGTCATGAATGAAATGCAAATTGAAACCACAGTGAGATACTACTCTATATCCATTAGGATGGCTGTTATAAAACAGAAAATAACAAGGGTTGGTATAGGTATGGAGAAATTGCAACCCTTGTGTATTACTGGAGGGAATTTAAAAGGATGTAGCTACTACAGAGAGCTGGCATAGTGGTTACTGAAAAAAATTAAACATACAGGGGTATCTGGACTCAGTCAGTTAAGCATTGGACTCTTGATTTCAGCTCAGGTCATGAGATCAAGTGTCGCGTTGGGCTCGGTGCTGGGCATGGAGCCTGCTTAAGATTCTCTCCCTCTCCCTCTGTACCTCTGCACCCTTCCACTGTACACACACTCTCTCTTAAAAAAAAAAAGTTAAACATAGAATTACTATATGATCTAACATATACCCAAAAGAATTAAAAGCAAGGATTTGAACAGATATTTGATTGCTCCTGTTCGTAGCAACATTATTTACAATAGTGAAAAAGCAAATAGAACTCAATGTCTATCAGCTGATGAATAAATACACAAAATGTGATACATATATGCAGTGGAATATTATTCAGCCTTAAAAAGTGAAATTTGGCACATGCTACATTGCTGATGAACCCTGAAGATTTTGTGCTAAGTGAAATAAGCTGGTCACAAAGGGACAAATATTCTATGATTTCATTTGTATGAAGTACCTAGAGTAGTCAAATTCATAGAGACAAAGTAGAACAGTGGTTACCAAGGGTTGAGGGGAGGAGAAAAAGGGAGTGATGTATAATAGGTAGTTTCGGTTTGTGAAAATATGTGAATTCTGGAGATATATGATATGATGGTTGCACATCAGTGTGAATGTACTTAAAGCCACTGAACTGTATACTTAAAAATGGCTAGAAGGGGAAATTATATGTATATTTTACTACAATAAAAAAAAATGCTACCAGAAAAACCCTAATAGAATTTTAAAACTTGATAACTATCTTGGAAAATAAAAGTGCAAGTGTTGTGGACACCTGGCTGGCTCAGTTGGTAAAGCATACAACTCTTGATCTTGGGGTTGTGGGTTCAAGTTCCATGTTGAATGTAGAGATTACTTAAAAATAAAATCTTTAAAAAAAAAAAAGTTCAAGAGTTGTATGCAGTCTGTATACTCAATGAACATATTATCATTATGGAATTTGAAATGGGTGATGATGGGAAACCTCTGTTCTCAAAGTTTACTGTCTTCATTTGCCTTTTATAATAGTTTAAGCATCTTTTTTTTTTTTAAGCATCTTATCTTGATTCCCTGAGAATTATTCTAGAGTTAAAGTGTCTTTTTGTTACAACATGGCCTCTAAACACAAGCCAGGTACTTCATGAGGTGCTCAGAAGTAGGCACAGTGATTTGTTGCAAGCCAAAAGGAACAAGTGCACTCTGGTGGATTAGTTGATCTGACAGGATGTCAATTTCAGCGTGGTCCCTTCTTAAGGAACCTTCCAGGGTAATTTCAACCCTATATGTTTTTTCATCTTATATACTGACTTTAAACTCTAGATTCCATTTAAAATTTATCTTGAATTGAATGAAAAAAAAAAAAACCAGATCTGAAGCTATCTACATTGCAATCACAGTATATATTCATTCCAAAGCATCTAAAACCAAGGTTTGGTTGTTTGGGTTTTTTTCGTAAGGTGACAAAAGCTTTCAGTTCATGGTCATTTTTTCTTCAGCCAAGAAGGACTAAAGCTTTTACTGTGTTCCTGGAAGATACTATACTAGATGTTACATTTACAGAAATAAACAAGGTCCTAAAGATTATGGAGTATGTGGAATGTTGTTACAGATAATAAATAAATAGACCACAAATAAGTACATAATTACAAATGATAAGTGTTAAGAAAATAAAGTAGAACGGAATGAGAATAATAAGAGTACCCCCCCTTTTTTTTAGGAGCTCCGAAAGGCCTTTCTAAGAAATAACTTTAGAGATGAGGTCTATAGGATAGAGATGGGCTAGGTAGCAAAGATTAGAGGATGACAGAATGGGCAAAGCTCCTGAAACAGGAAAGAGCTTGATACATTTCACAGATGAGAATGCAATGTGATTAGAGCACAATGGTGGTCTGATATTGTTAGATCCAAGATCATGCAGTGTTTTTGTAAACCATACTAAAACATTTGAATTTTATTCTTGTAGGCAACTGTGGTTTCCTTTACATTTGTAAAATGTATCTGCCAGCCAGATGGAGAGCCACTTCATAGCTGGGAAGGCAGGGAGCCAAGATGGGAACTCTAGAAGTAGAAGCAAGGACACTAGTTAGTTAATAAGCTATTGACCGTACACAATTAAGGTTGTATGCAAGAGTGCCACATAGAAGGTGGCAATATTAACATTTTGTAAACATATACTGTTTTTTATGAAAATACGCAGGTGAGCATGAAGGTTCCAGATATCCAGTTAGAATTCTAGATCAATGTTAGCTCTCTTCTTGCCCCAAACAAAAATCTATACTTATACATTCTGCAGCTGCATGTGGCTACACTGTCTTTCAGTTGCCTTTCAGCTCCACTGACTTGATTCTCTTGTTCATCCACCCCTGCTCTCAGGGGTTTATTGTTTGACACCTGACTACGAACCTGACACAGTCACCTGTCTTGGAGAACAAAGGGTGCTGGTGAAGAGTTTGTATGTGTTTGCTGCTGGTGCTGTGTGTTCTCTGGTATCGAAGTATTTATGAGGAATGATCCCCATGTATAATTGTATGTTGTACCGTAATATATAATATCGGTTTTTTTTTAATTAAGAAGGGAACATATTTTTTCTGTTTTCTTCAAAAGATACTGTAAGAGATAGCTATGTCCTGAATGCTAGAATCCAGAACTCAAAAGAAAGGTCAAGCTAAAGAAACATATATGTTGGCCAGTATGTAGATAGTGTTCCGTCCATTGGTAATTGATGAGTTCACCCAGGAAGAGAAAGGAGTTCTGACTCCTTGAAGAACTCTAGCATTTGGTAATTTGGTAGAAGAAGGGTGTTAAGGATTTGCCAGAGAGATGGGGAGTGAATAAGAAAAAGTGATGTCACAGAAGCTGAGAAAAAGCCCAATTTAATCTATCTATGCATATGACCCAGCAGGCTTAGTAGGATCCTTGCAATCTGTCCTTAAAAATCCTTCATGACTTACTTATATTTGCACTATATTGAAGAGACTAATATGCAGATCTATTGCTGTATATATTTTAGGTGCTCAGAAATATTCTTTACTTCTTTTATATGGCATGGATAAACTTCTCTTACCAGTGGACGTAGGAATATTGAAATGTATTTTAAAAGAAAATAAAATTACTTTCAAATCTTGTAGTTCTTTATCACGTAAGACTTTCAATGTTTTGTATCTTGTATTGTCAGATAATCTTCCTAAAACATAGCTGATTATATTTTCCCTTTACTAAAAAATTTTTAATGATGTTGCATTTCATATACAATAAAATTTGTACTCTTTAACTTGGGATTCCATGGTCTGCTGAATTTTGTCCCAAATAGTTATTTTTTAATATTGCCTCCTGCTTTCTTTAATGTATTCTATGATCTGGCCTGACTGCAAAGTGACCACTATTCTTATATACTCTTTGCTTCCCTGCCTCCTTGTCTTTGCTCATGCTTCACTGCTGCCTAAAATGTCTTTCTTCTTTCCTTGGCATATTTCAGAAAGCCTGCTTATTTTCCACATGACAGTCTATATTTTCCTCTCTGAACTAGAAATTGTCTCTCTTCTGAACTGATACTCTCCTTGATCTATCCTCTGTCCCTTGCTTCTCTACTGTGTACTGTTGCAGTTTATTGTACATGTCTGACAGCCTCAACCTGACTGACATCGCCTCCTGATTACACTATGACACTCCTATTGCAGTACCTTTTTAATAGAAGTGGTTTAAGAGATAAACTTTTTGTCTTTCTTCAACTTCATGTCTATTATTTGTGTTAATTGGACTACTTTCCCACCCTTCCACAGGATCCAATGATGCCATTGCTCCAGACTTCCCAGCAGAAGTGCTAGGCACAAGGGATGATGACCTCACAGTCCCTGCTAACATTAAACATAAAGAGGGGATCTACAGTAAGAGGGTGGTGCCTAAGGCATCCTTGTTAGTAGGGCGAAAAACCCCTCAGAAAGATAATGCAGGTAACTGAACTGGCTTTGTATATTTTGTGGCCTTTTTCCTTTGACCCAAATGAGAATATTGTCCAGCCTTTATCTTTTTTCTGGTGTTAGACAAACTTTTTTCTGTTAGCTGTTTTATTGGTTATCAACAAGAAGGTAAAATATTTACAAAATTTTTTAAAACACTTCACAGATGTTTTTTTTGTTTTTTTTTTTTTTTTTTTTTTTTTTTTTTTTTTAGGATTTTACGTATTTATTTGACAGAGAAAGCCACAGAGCACAAGGAGAGGGAACAGCAGCAGGGAGAACAATAGAGGGAGAGAGAGAAGCAGGCTCCCCACCAAGCAGGGAGCCTGATCCGAGGTTTGATCCCAGGACCCTGGGACTACAATCCTGGCCAAAGGCAGATGCTTAACTGAGCCACCCATGCACCCAACAGATTTCTTGAAACTATAAACTTTATTTTCACGATGGGAAATAAAATATACTGCAACTTTTGAAGTGAAATAATATCCAATCAGGAATGTTTTAGAAACTGAAATTCATAGAAAATCTTGATTAAATTTGCTTCATGAATTCATCTGATGGTGCGAACTACTGTTTTCATATATTGGATTCTGCAGGAACATATATGGCTCACATGGTGTTTTAAATTTTCTTAACATTTTGCTGCCAACATTTAAAAATAAGATTTTGGACTTCCTTGAAAAATCAGAATATCTGGTTGTACTCAGCTTGCATTCCTCCATGGCAGTAACCACCTGCCCCTGTCACATGGTTGATCTGTGCAGAGAGGATGTACATTCTTGTGTTTGCTTCAAGTTCCCACACTTCTCAGGCATTCTGCTTCATTCATCTACCTTATCTGTCCGGTCACTATGGGTATTTGAGTTTTCAACCTTATCCCCAGATATAGGCCCTACTGCTTTATAAAAGCTTTTAATCTTTAGAGACCCACTTGACTTTTTTCCTCAGCATCCCTGCATTGTACTTCTTTAGTTGGTACATGGTTGCATTTATTAAATAGAGACTCCAGTGGCCACTGAAAATTCTACATGTATAACTGCCTGTGTTGCTTTATTCCATTTAGGGTTTTTATTCCTGTGCATAGCTATTAGCTAAATAGGTGCTGCTGATCCTAGGGCAGTTTTTAAACATGGATAATTCTGTGTTCTAGTTTGGGCACATATTGTTGATTTAATGCATGCAATAAGGCAAAAAAAATTCAGAAACGTCCTTGAGATTGATAAAGTCTAAATTCAGCATAAGGTTTGCTACTAAAGTGACAAAATGGCATCTGACACTTTATACAGGAAATTGTATCTGTAATGCTTTATTTCTTAAGCTCTCTGGTTGACACACTATGTTATATCTTTAGAAATCTCTACTGCTTTTCTGATTTCTTTGTTGAAAAATATTCATATTTAGCAATGAGATGAATCTCTTGAACCCATTGTAAAAAGATATGACCATTATTAACTGTTATCCTAGTTGTTTTATTGGTGATTTTTAATATATTTAGTTACATTATTTTACACTTGAATTTTCTCATATAATAAGAAAAAAAAGAGCTGATTTTAAAAGACCAGTAAAGGGCTCCTGGGTAGCTCCGCAGTGAAGTGTCTGTCTTTGGCTTGGGTCATCATCCTAGGGTCCTGGGATAGAGCTTGGCATTGGATTCCTTGCTCAGCTGGGAGCCTGCTTCTCACTCTCGCTCTGGCTACCACTCCCCCTACTTGTGCTCTCTCTGTCAAATAAATAAAATCTTTAAAAAAAAGACCCCAATGAGATAGATAAATCTCTAGCAAGTATGACCAAGAAAAATAGAAAGTAGAAAGTGTTAGGCAATTTTAAAAGGACATAATTTCAGGAGGTTTTTAAAAATCATAAGACTATTATATATAAAATCTACGTGGTACAGATGCTTTCCTAGGATTATATGAAATATCAAATTGGCTCAATAAATGACAAAAACTTTGAATAAACCGAAGAACTCAAAGGAGTTGTTCAAATCCACTTTCATCCTTTGAAAAAGATAACTGATTTTTTAAACTATTGTGTCAAGCCAGTAAAGAACAAATTTCATTTAAAATGACATTTTATTTAAACCATCATTGTACACAGAAAAATATGAAAAGCTTTCCAATTCATGTTGTAAACCCACCATAACTGTCACAGCTTAAAAGCTGTGGTGGGGCCTAAAAAATGCTTTCTTTCCTTAACATAAAAAAGAAGTTTGGGGGTTTGTTTGGACCATGTTTTTTGAGGTAAAGGTTAGTTGCCTATTGTGTAGGTTGTCTTCTCCTTCTCTGTGGAATTACATGATGCCATTATTCCAGATGCCCAAGTTCAGGTTTCCATCACTGAAGATGAGAACCTCTCAGACAAAAACCAGAAAAAGGAAATCTACACTAAAAAGGCAGTGACTAAGGCTGCCCAGCCTGAAGAAGAATCTTTGCAGAAAGCCTCTAAAGGTAACTGAACTGGACTGTGTATTATTTTTTTTTCTGGCTTTCTAAAATGAGTATAAACAGAAAAGTATTCTCTGTTCTTTACTATTTTCAACCTTTGTCTTGCTCATATAAGAAATAGAATATAGTTGTAATTTTATTGGTAGGGATTGGCAGGTAAAATTAACATGTTTAAAGCTCTTTAAGACATTTCTGGAGAACTTTGTGATTATGATACACAAGTTAATCTCATTGCCAGAAATTCACATAACAGACTTCCCTGATTAAAAAAAAAAAAAAAGAAGACTTTACTGATAAAATTTACTTCTTAAGTACCTATGTAGTTAACTTCAGTGGGATTATGCTGATTAAAAATGCCTATAATAGCATGTTAAAGTTAAGATTTGTTTTGGCTCTGAGAGATGAAAACAAAAACAAAATAACACTGGCTTAAAGAAGTCAGGAAATTATTTCTCTTTTTGTAAAAATCCAGATGTGGACTCCAGCGTGTCAAGGAACAAAGCTCTTACTCTTCTGTTGCTCTAACATTTTTATCCTCCATTCTCATGCAGTCACCATCAGGCCTGTATTCCAGCCAACAGAAAGGAAGACTGGGAAAGAAAAAAGTATATTCCAAAAGTTACATGTACCATTCCCCTTCCACTGTATTGGACAGTCTTAGTCATACGTCAACACCAGCCTGTGATATAATCTCTATTCTGGTAACCATATGCCCAATGAAGTCAAGGTTCTTTCTTTCTTTTTTTTTTTTTTATACAGAAAAAATACAGAATCTTCATTTTTCACATGTGAAAGAAAGAATCTGTTCATTCTGACAGCTTTAACAGGCTTGGCCACCCAGTGGGTTATACACACTCTTAGGAAGGGTATTGGAGTGAAGTTGTCACTTTCCCCCATCAGACCCCGGCTTCATTTTCCACAAGGATGCCTTATTCAGAACAGCTTGTGGGGTGGCTGCAATTGAATCTCACCTCCAGACTATGAAACCAGCATTGTTAGCACAAGTTTTATGGCTTCTTTCATTTCAGAATGTCATGTTTACTGAAGTGAAACTTTTCAAGTAGGAAGGCCAAAGTACTTACTGCCTGCTCAGTAAAACAAAACAAAACGAAAACCACTCTGTAGTGCTCTAGATTGCAGGCAGGCAGTCAGTAGTAAGATAAGTGTCAGTAGCCTGTTCCTGACAGATTATACAGCAGCTGTGGCTCAGAGATTTTTCTCCGTGCAAGATTTTTTTTTTTTAAGAATTTATTATTTTTTTCAAATCATCTCTATACCCAGTGTGCAGCTGGGACTTGCAACCCTGAGATCAAGAGTCACATGCTCTACTGACTGAGCCAGCCAGGCACCCCGCCCTGTAAGGTTCAAAATATTGAAAGATTCAAAGTTTGGCAGCTAGTTGGTTTTGATAAGTTTGCTATGATCTAGGGGTATTTGGGCACTTCTTTGAGAATCAGCCTTTAGCTAGGGTTATGCTTCAGCTGTCTTGAAAAGAAGTCCCTGTCTCCCTCTCATACAAAGTCAAGGAATAGGAATACAACCCAGGATAATTTTTATACATCTCTTGGTAAGTGCTTACCTCAAAAGGAGGCTTCCCAACTAGAAATTTATGGCAAAGAACCCCAAGGCTCCAGAGCATCTCAGCACACATTCAGCCTTTAATCATCTCAGGGGGGCAAATAATCCAGAGTGCTACAGTAGGTAGTTTGGGAAGATGAGGACGTATACCAACTACCCAAAATCTGTAATCTTAAACTCTCTAATTGACTCAAGGAACAGGTTCACTGGCTCAATGTCTCCATGGTTAACTTTCTTTGAATGAAAGTAAGACAAGGCATTTGCCAGTCCTATGACATAAGAGTAGCAGTCTTCTCGTCAAAATGAGAGTTTGTGAAGTTCTCCATAGACAGGTCCAAGGGGTGCATATTCTAGAATTAAGTAAACTGGTAGCATCATAGTAGTAGCCATACAGACTGAAAATATTTGGATATTTAAGGTGGGATTGGGTTTCTACTTCTCTTCTCAGCTAATGCTTACCTCTTACTTTCTCCAGTTGAGCCTTAAGTAATATTTTAAGAGCCAGGATAAACTTGCTTTGTTTTTCTCTCCCCAAATAAACATTATTAAAATTTATTTTACCCAGCAGCCAACCAATTAAAATCTTCCAAAGCCCATTGTTTTTTTAATTCTTCATTTCTCTGTTTGATACCAGTTCCTTTTCAGAACTTCTTCTAAGGGATGATGGCTAAGGCTGCTCTTTGGGGTATTATTCAGTGATCTAGGGACACTGGTTGCCTACCATTACCTCTGCTTCAGATTCTGAACCAATTAATGGCTGGAAACAAGATTTTGTGCTCATGAAGGGAGGCATTTGAAGGACACAAGATCTCCTTGATCTGTCCACTCTATTGTCAGAGTTTTACTTTAGAAGCTAGAATAAGGGATTTCAGAGGACAGCTGGTAGTCCCTGACACAATTGTAAATAGAAACATTTTGGAGTATAATTAGCCACTTCTCTTTTTTTGTGTATTGCTTTTTTTCACAAGTTATGTTGTATTCTGGGCAACACTTCAAAATTTTACCCCCCTTTTTGCTGTTACTAAATGAATGTTCTAGAAACAGACTATGTTAATCTCATAATCAGAAAGTTTTCATTACCCTTAAGAATAAATTCTGAACTCTTTTAGCACAGTCTTTCCAAATAATAAAATCAGCTCCCAAACAGCTTTTTAGGCACCTCTTTTCCTTATATATTCTTTACTCAAATAAACCATATATTTGCTCTGTTTCTTAGATGTTCAGTTGCTTTCCTGACTTTCTTGTTTTCATATATAGTTATCTTCGCCTAAATTGCCTTTCTCTTTGTCTCACTGTGTATCCCAGCTTAGCTAACTTCTAACATCCAGATCAGTTGTTTCTTTACCCTGGAGTTCTTTCATGATCCTCCTAACTAGAAGTAGTTTCTCCCTTTTTGAGTACATATACTTCCATCATCTGTCTTTCTCTTATGCTGTAATTCTTTTATTTTCTATACCATCGTTATCGTCAATACCAGTTACAGTGCCTTCTTACATATTAGATGCTTGAGAGGTTTTTAAAAATATTTTTTGTCAAGCTTCTATCTGGATACTGTGTTAATTTACCCCTCTTAGGTTCCAGCGATGCTGCTGTTGCAGAGCACTCAGCTCGACTACAAGACGTAAAGCTTGAAAGTCTGCCAGACACTAAAGCCATTAAACAGAAAGAGGAGATCCTTAATGAGAGGACATTTCCTAAGGAAGCCTGGAAAGAAGATAAGGAATCCTTGCAGATAGATATTGCAGGTAATGGGATTGGGGTGTAAGGGGAAGGAGAGGAGTTTGAGGGGGATTGGGGTGTCGGGGGAAGGGAAGAAGAGTATGAGGGGGGAGTGACAGAGAATAAGAGAGAGACAGGGCCTGTGTGTGTGTGTGTGTTTCCATTTTATTATTTATTTAAAGATTTATTTATTTGAGAGAGAGAATGGGAGCAGGGGGAGGGGCAGAGGGAGAAGGAAAGAGAATCCTCAAGCAGATTCCCTCCTGAGAATGGAGTCCAATGTGAGATTCAATTTAAGGACTGAGATCCTTAAATGCTGAGATCATGACCTGAGCTGAAATCTAGAGTCAGGTGCTCAACTGACTGAGCCACACAGGCACCCCTCATTTTATTCTGATAATAACATTGCCTCATAATTTAGAGTTTCACTCCTCCTCTTCTTCTAATTCTTCTTCTTCTTCTTCTTCTTCTCCTTCTCCTTCTCCTTTTCTTCTTCTTCTTCTGTATCACTTCATTATATAAAATAATTGTTACTTCTGGGGAAAGGTATTATAAATTTAGAAATAGGATTACAAATAAATACTTCAGGCCAGCTCCCATGGCTCAGCAATTTAGTGCTGCCTTCAGCCCAGGGCGTGATCCTGGAGACCCGGGATCCGGTCCCACGTCAGGCTCCCTGAATGGAGCCTTCTCCCTCTGCCTGTGTCTTTGCCTCTCTCTCTCTCTCTCTCTCTCTCTCTCCCCTTTCTGTGTATTCTCATGAATAAATAAAATCTTAAAAAAAAATAAATACTTCAGGCTGGCAGTAATAGAAGTATCATGTTTCAGTACTGAAACGGGGGAAAACCTAAAATTTGAAGGCATTACAGAAGACTGTAGTAAAGACAGAAAGAGCCACAATACAAACATTTTAAAAATTATAGTAAAAGAGTTGAGATTAGATCTGTTTATGTTTACCCATGGCCCCATATTTCTAACATGAAAGAACATATAGAACATAAGTCATTACTACCTAGCTGCCAAACTTTACCTCTTAGAGGAAGATAAAATATACCCAGATAAGGAAAGAAAGGAGTCAAGGCGTTAATCTATCCATATTGTATTTTGAAAATAGTCCAGATGCAGTTACTCACATCAAGATTAATAGATAAGTTAACGTATAAATGATTTTCCACAGGGTGCCAAGACTACACAGTGGGGAAAGTAGAGTCTCTTCAACAAATGGTGTTAGAAAACTGGATATCCACATGCAAAGAAATGAAGTCGAACCCTTACTTTTTACCATATATAAAACTTAACTCAAAAATGGATCAAAGATCCAAATATAAGAGCTAAATCTAAAACTCTTAGAAGGAAACAAGGGAAAAGTTTCATGACATTGGATTTGGCAAGGATTTCTTGGATATGACACCAAAAGCATAGGCAACAAAAGCAAAAATAAATAAATTATATTACTCAGAATTAAAAACTGCATTAAAGGGGCAGCCCCGGTGGCCCAGCGGTTTAGCACCATCTTCGGCCTGGGGTGTGATCCTGGAGACCCGGGATCAAGTCCTGCATCAGGCTCCCTGCATGGAGCCTGCTTCTCCCTCTGCCTGTGTCTCTGCCTCGCTCTCTCTCTCTCTCTGTCATGAATAAATAAATAAAATCTTAAAAAAAAAAACTGCATTAAAGGACACAACAGGGTGAAAAGGTAATGATAATTGGTTAATATCCAGACCATATATGGAACTTCCATAATTTAGCAGCAAAGAAACCCAGTTTAAAAATGGGCAAAGGAGGGATCCCTGGGTGGCGCAGCGGTTTGGCGCCTGCCTTTGGCCCAGGGTGCGATCCTGGAGACCCGGGATCGAATCCCACGTCAGGCTCCCAGTGCATGGAGCCTGCTTCTCCCTCTGCCTGTGTCTCTGCCTCTCTCTCTCTCTCTCTCTCTCTCTCTCTCTCTCTCTGTAACTATCATAAGTAAATAAAAATTATTTTTAAAAAATGGGCAAAGGAAAAAAAAGAAAAAGAAAAAAAAATGGGCAAAGGAAAAAAAAGAAAAAGAAAAAAAAATGGGCAAAGGACTTGAATAGACAGTTCTCCTAAGAAGATATATGAATAGCCAACAAGCATATGAAAAGATGCTTGAAATCACTAATCATCAGAGAAAGGCAAATCACAAACCATAATGAGATATCACTTCACACTAATTGGGATATGAACAAAAAGAATAGAAAGTAACAATTGTCCCAATGATGCAGAGAAACTGGAACCCTTGTGCACTGTTGGTATGAATATAAAATGTTGTAGCCATTATGGAAAATAGTATCAAGATTCCTCAAAGAATTACAAATAGAATTACCATGATTCAGCAATCCCAGTTCTGGGTATATATCCAAAATAATTCAAGGCAGTATCTTAGAGAGATCTCCATTCTCATGTTCATCACAGCATTATTTACACTTAATCCAATTCCGGAAACAGCCCATATGTCCATCAACAGATGAATGGTTAAAGAAAATGTGGTACATACATCCAAAAAATATTATGTAATCTTGAAAATGAAGACAATCCTGTCACATGCTGCAATATAGATAAACTCAAGGACATTGTGCTAAGTGAAATAAGCCAACACAAAAGGACAATACTGTATATCTCACTTATATGAAGTACCTAAAGTAGTTAGAATTATAGAAATGTAGAAAATTATTTGCCCATGGTTGGTAGAGAGGAGGCAGGAAGAATTGGTGTTTAGTTGATATGGAGTGTTAATATTGCAATATGAAGATGTTCTAAAGATCTACTGCACAACAATGTGAATATACTTAACACTACTGAACTGTATACTTAAAAATGATTAAGATGGTAAATGTTATATATTTTACCACAATAAAAGAAATGTATAAGATGGAAAAACAGAATTACAACTCTGCAGTGGGTAGTGTAGGAGACATAACTTGGAAAAGAAAAGTAGAACTATAATCTGTAAAAGCATATTCTGGAAGACAAGAAATTTTTTCCTACATGTTATACACTATAAATAATTATAGAAAATGTGAAACGTGTTAAAGTTTAGATAATAGGGCAGCCCTGGTGGCCCAGCAGTTTAGCACCGTCTTCAGCCGGGGTGTGATCCTGGAGACCCAGGATCGAGTCCCAGGTCAGGCTCCCTGCATGGAGCCTGCTTCTCCCTCTGCCTGTGTCTCTGCCTCTCTCTCTCTCTCTCTCTCTCTCTCTCTCTCTCCCTGTGTCTGTCATGAATAAATAATAAATAAATAATCTTTTTAAAAAAAGTTTAGATAATAAGAGGTAAGAAGATTTAGGGGATCAGAGAACAAATTGAAGGAAAAGAATTGTAAAAAGAAAAAGGAGGGGCAGCCCGGGTGGCTCAGCGGTTTAGCGCCACCTTCAGTCCAGGACCTGATCCTGGAGACCCGGAATGGAGTTCCCACGTCGGGCTCCCTGCATGGAGCCTGCTTCTCCCTCTGCCTGTGTCTCTGCCTCTCTCTTTCTCTGTGTATCTCATGAATAAATAAATAAAATCTTAAAAAAAGAAAAGAAAGAAAAGAAAAAGGAGATGGAGGCTATTAGAAAAAATAATTTGGGGATCCCTGGGTGACTCAGCGGTTTAGTGCCTACCTTTGGCCCAGGGTGAGATCCTGGAGACCGGGGATCAAGTCCCACATCAGGCTCCCTACATGGAGCCTGCTTCTCCCTCTGCCTGTGTCTCTGCTTCTCTCTTTCTCTCTGTCTTTCATGAATGAATATATAAATAAAATATTTAAAAAATAATAATAATTTGACGAATGACTGGAAATCTAGCACAATGATATCTGTTAGTGTCTCCAAAGAAGATAACAAAAATAATAAGATATACAAGGAAGACTGAACCTACAATTTAAAAGGACAAACTTAGGGATGCCAGAGTGTCTCAGCAGTTGAGCATCTGCCTTTGGCTCTGGACATGATCCCAGAGTCCTGGGATCAAGTCCCACATCGGGCTCCCCAGGGGGAGTCTGCTTCTCCCTCTGCCTGTGTTTTGACGCTCTCTCTGTGTCTCTCATGAATAAAAAATAAAATCTTTTAAAAAATAAAAATTTTAAAAATAATAAAAGGATATACCTAGTCCTAGAGAAAAATGTATATGGTAATAATCAACACCAAGACATATGTTGGTAATAGTAGTGAACGTCAAAGAAAAAGGGTACATTGTACAGGCATCCACACAGAAAAAGCAAGGCAAAAAGACAAAAAGAAAAATCAGCAAGGAGACAGGCAGAAGAAAGGCAGGCTGAAAGATGTATAAGTGAACTATTTTCATCTTTAAAAATAAATCAAGAAATACATGGTAAGTTACAGTATATAAGATTATAGAAGTTATTTCTAAAACTATAAAACATCTAAAATATTTAGAAAAATGGAGTAACAAGAGAGTAAAGGAAGGAGAAAAGAAAAAAGTAAATTTGTAAAAGAAGAAAAAATACCATAAAATAGAGAATGGAGAGCATGTAAGACTACATACACGTTGGAGTGCCTGGGTGGCTCAGTCGGTTGGTTAAATCTCCAGCCTTTGATCTCAGCTGATTTCTTGATCTCACAGTTCTGAGTTTAAGCCCCACATTGGATTCTGCTCTGGGGGTGGAGCCTATTAGAAGAAAACAAAACAAAAAGAGTATATATATTTATGGGATAAATTCATCTATTAAAATAATCTCAGATTAGGTTAAAAAACAGACTTGGTTCCATGCTATATAGCAAACACATTAAAAACAAAATGACTCAGAATGGTTGAAAATAAAAGGAAAACTATAGACATCTCAAAAACAAATTTAGAAACATGATATTAATATAGACAACACCCAAAGTGTTGGAATCAAGGAGGAATATTTTTAAACTGATTTGCAATCCATAATGAGGCTACACTACATATATCTTTAACCATGAAATAGCATAAAAATATAAAATGAAAAGGTGCTTAAGAAGGGAGAGGGAACTTTGCTTGGGGGTAGAGGAATTCAGATCAGACCATAAACTAACAAAACTC